AAAAGATATATTGATCAACCGCCCAGAATAGAAGGGATGTAGAAACCCTATCTTCAGCCATTAGATTTGCAACAAAGGGGCTAAACATCATACATAATAAAAGGTGCTGGGAAAACTACTTATCGTATAAAGAAGAATGACTATAGACCCCTACCTTTTGACCTGTACTAAAAGAAAATCAAAATAGATGAAAAACCTGGATATAAGAATAAAAACACTGAATCTACTGAAAGATAAAAGTAAAACTCCTGAAAACATAGGTATAAGCTATGATTTTATGAACAGAAATCCACTGCACAAAACATAACACCAACAATCAACAAACGAGATTATACTGAGTTTAAAACTTCTGCACAACAAAGGAAACAGACAACAGAAAACACTCAGAATGAGAAAAAAACCTTTGCCAGAAGACAACTACTATCCAGAATACATAAAGGACTAAAAATTAGACATACGCCCAATAATATACCTAATGTTTCACAAAGAAAAAAAAAAGATATTGAATAGACATTTTTCTGAAGAAGTACAAATGGATATTGGGCACATAAAAATATATTCAGCATCTTTGGTCATTACAGAAATACAAATTAAAAAAATGAAATTTCATCTTGCTCCTAAAAGAATGGTTATCATGAACACAAAAATCAATAAATACTGCACAGGTTGTAGGGGGAAAGGAATCCCTGGGGGCCAGGGAGATGGCTCAGTGGAATAAGCACTTCCCTGGCAAGTGCAAAGGCCTGAGTTCAATCCCCGGTTCCGTCAAAAAAATAAAAAAATAAAATAAAATAAAATAAGGAATCCCTGTTGTGGAAATGTGAACCAGTATACCACTATGAAAATAGCATGGAGTTCTCAAAATCTAGAAACAGAAATTCCATTTGACCTAGCTATACCTCTTCTGTGTATCTTACTGGAAGAGTTCCATCTTACATACCGATGTTCATATATATACCAAGCTAAATCTATCTGTCCACCCACAGATGAATAGCTAAAGAAAATGTGCTATGTACATGTAATGGAGTACTATTTAGCCACAAAGAACAATAAAGTTGGGTCATTTGTAGGAAATTAGAGGCATCCTGAGTCCATAATGCTAAGTGAAATAAATCAGGCACACATTAAACAGCACTTGTTTTCTCTTATATGAGAAATCCAAAGTATAAGTAATTTAAAGAGTAAAACAAAAGAACAAGGGATGGGGAGACAGGTCAGCAGCATAAGCACCTGCTTGACAAGTGCAAGGTCCTGAGTTCAATCCCCAGTATCCAAAAAAAAAAAAAAAAAAGGAAAAAAGAAAAAAAATAACAATGATCAAAGACAGGTGATAAGAGTTTGTGGAGATGGGAAAGAAATTTGGGGATGGAGGGAGATATGAAGGAGAAGAAGTAAAAAGGATCAAGATGCAGTATATGTACCTACCAATCCTCTATGATGAATACATTCATTATGTACTGCAAACATAAACTAGTATTTTTAAAAACTTCCTGTTTATCAAAATTTGTGTGATTCTTTTTCAAATCTATTATATCACATTTTATAATGTCCTATTCCTTGAGGCTATCTTCTCTCTCTAAATATGACTAGGAATCGTTTTAATTCTAGTATCTTTTAGTACTTTTAATTGTACTACCTAAAATTTTTGTACATTTGTACTAGTTCCTAAATGTACTGCTTCCAGGTTGTTTGGTTATGTTTCAGTATGTAGGATTCATTTCCCTTCACAATGATTTCCAGAGATTACTTGAGGCCCAAGGATGAAGATAACCATGTTCATAGACAGTTTCTCTTCAGAAAGAACCTTAACAGCAATATTCACAATCACTTTAAAATGATTCCATGAGGTTTCATGAATAGCCACATATGAAGAATCTGAGGGGCTGGAGAGATGGCTCAGTGGTCTAAAGCACCTACTTGGAACAAGCTTGGCTAAAGCACAGGGACCGCGGTTCGATCCCCCAGCACCACATGCCAGCCAGCCGCGCCCCCTGGTGGGCTGAGCTGGCCACACACACACACTAAATAAATGTTAAAATAAATAAATAAATAATTAAAAAAAAAACATTTAAAAAAAAATTAAAAAAAAAAAAAGAATCTGAGTGCTACATATTAACGAACAATACATAGCTGTAACCTTTCAAGTATAAGTTTTCTTCATTTTTTCCCTTCTTCTATTATCAATGCAACTTTCTGATTTTAACCCAAGAGACAAGGATGTCTTCTGTTTTATCCTTACCCTAAGATTAAAACACTTAAGAGTTGTGGCTTTCATACACTTTATGTATATGTCTATTATTTCATCTAAATATCCCTTTTAGGAGTTTTTAGAGGGAATGGAAATAAGTATCATCCTTGTTACGTATTTATACCCCAAAAACTACATCCATTCTATCCAACATGGCAGTTTCTCATAAAACTAAGTAAAAATTAGAATTGCTTCCTATTATACTTTTTTCTGGTAAGAATGTTCACCTCTGAGATTTGCTTCATGTTATATTTAGATCTGAATTACAATAAAGAAAAATGGATTCCATATTATGTTTCTAAAATAAACTAATCCTTAATCATAAAAACTTTCAATTACTTCTACTCTAGGACTTAACACATTAAATGTTAAATGATTCAGTCTTTCTTTGTTCATCAAGAAGACAGTATTTAATGCATACCTATACTCCCAATATCAAGTTTGTTGCCTTAATGGGTGTTTAATAAATAATTTTCGAATAAATAAAAATGAAAATAAAAATACTAAATTTGGTCTGGGGAGATAGCTCGGCAATCTAAGCACCTGCCTGGCAAGCACAAGGACCCCCAGTACTGTGCCCTGCCAGCCACTGAAACTGGGCATGGTAGCGCATGCCTGTAATCCCAGCACTGGGAAGGCTGAGACGAGGATCACTACAAGACCAAGCTGCATAGTGAGACCCTGTACCAAATAAATAAAGAAAATATTAAATATAAAGTACTTTTAAAAAATATTAAATTCTACCACCTTTAAAACAGTCCAAAGCATAATTTCACAGTGAGGAGTAAACACAATTTCCATAACAGAAAGAAAATTCATTAACAAAAACTAGATAAAAGACGTAAAAATGTAAATCTAATTAAACTGATAAAGTGAATCAAGATAAAAATGACTACAAATATAATGCAATCCTATCAATATATGTTAAGCTTGAATATAAACAGGAGAAAGTAAATTAAAACTAAAGTAATTTTTTTTTAAGTAAGATCTGATAAACTGGAAAAATCTAACAGTTATACAAGTGATAAGAATGTGACACAACAACTTGCATATCATCTCAGTAAGGGAATAACTTATACAGCTATTTTACAAGATAGTTTTGCACTGTGCAATGGAGTTAACTCAATACATGCAGACTACAGGATGCAGTAATTCTACTGTACTATGCATACTGAAGTTTCTAACAATGAAACATGTTCTCTTGTGAGAGCAAAATCCATTAAAAATTGAAACACTTCAACAGTAAAATAAGATAAACACATTTCCATATATTTTTAAGAAGCAGACATACAGATTTATCAACGAAGATCAAAGATGAGTACACTTTTTTTTCCGTAATTTTATTGAGAAACAAATAGGAATGACAGTTTCAAATCAAATTGGTAGGACAGTTTCAATAATTAATACATTGCATACATTCTTCCTAGTGGTTAATTGCTGTACAAGATTCAGACATGATATCCTATTTACAAACACCATTAGAACAAATTCCTCTATTCATTAAGAGAATGTAATTATATATCTATCCTAACCACTTTGAATACACAGATACAAAATGAACATTCATCTGTATCCTCTTTTTTGTCAAGTTCCGTTATTTGAATATTATAGGTGGAGTACACTTCTCAGAGTAGGAGAAGGCCAAAGAGAAGAGCTCGTGGTAGCCTTGTTTTGTGAGTTTTTATACAGTAGAATATAACAGGAAAAATGAACAAACTACAGTTATATATAGCATCAGTATATTAAACAAAAGACAGGTATTACCAAAACCTCACAGGAGGGTTCAAAAGGTTATGGTTATTTTCCACTTCTAAAAACTACGAATAATTTAAACAAGTTATTCATTATTCTTTACATAAAATATGAATATATATCCTTTAGACACATAACAGACAATAAAACATGTAAATACCAGGTGATCCAAGCCAAGTATGCAACATAAAAAGAAAAATATAAAGACTAAGTTGCCATTAATTGCACTAAAATAAAAACATTTTATTTATTCATTTATTTTGCCTTCATATAACAGCATTAACTTCCTCAAGGATATGGACATTATTAGGTGTCCCTAATACATAGGAATTAACATAGAAAACACGTTACGTGTAAGAATGATTGTCTTTAAAATTCAGATACCACTTACCAGAAAAAAAAAAATTAGCTCGTGGTCATAACACCATCTAGGTATACTATTTTTTTAAAAATTTGTACCAGAAATTAACTTAGGACCTTGCACTTGCCAGGCAGGTGCCATGCCACTGAGCTACATCCCTGGCCCCGGTATAGTACTTTAATAAAATAAAAACCTACATTAAGTTAATTTTCCATGAAAGGCATCATCATTACTAAGATTTCCTTAAACATTTACACAATGATTTGAGTATAATAGAAAGGGTCGTAAGTTTTGCTTAGGTCAGAATGATAATGCCTACCTTTTAACTAGTACTTTTAGGTTAACAGTTTCCTCATAAGGATCAAGAAACTTAGTTATAGATGGAGTCAATCCTGAGTGCCACAAAAGAATAGCTAAAGGTTTTGAACTGTTACTAACTCAGAAAAAAAGAATTAGAATTTCAGTCTGTCAGCAAATGAAAGGTAACACTGTCTGATCACATCTTACATTGTATTTGTCTATGAAATAAAAACATTTCCAAAACTTAGAGAAAATTTTACTTCATAATCTCAAAGTCTGAATAAAATTCTAATGCACTCACTATTAAGTGCCTAGGTCAGAAGCTACATATGATCTTACCTGGGGAGGATAGTTGCTCTCTGAAGACCATCTTGAAGACTGGTCATTTGGTTTATCCACTAAAATGTTCCTGAAATTAAGAAATGGACGTTGTAGCAAAAAATTTAAAAAGTAAACATAAATGACAAAAGTAATAATCCATATTTAAATTTATCAGTTATATAATAGTTTAAATTTGAATATGAAAACAAGCACAGAAAGTATCTAAGACTGTGGCAAAGTGTGTGTGTGTATACATGTAATTCTAAAATATGTTAAAGTTTTTGTAGAGATTGGAAAAGGATCTGAGCATGAGGAAAAATGGAAAAGGAACTAGAAAATCAAGGGTATGTGTATATGCCAATATCCCATGATAAATATGTTCATTATGTATCAAAAGCATATACCGCACTAAGAAAAAAAATTAAAAATGAAAACGAGGTAAAAACAGGATAAAAGTTACATTCCAAGGCAACTTTTTTTTACAAGTGAGATAAATCAAATCTACTTCATACTAAGTGATAAAAATGATTTTTTAGGTATATTAAGAATTTAAGGGGAAAACAAAGAAATAAAATACCCATAAACTTAAAAATAAACAATAACACTAGAATAAAACATACTATGTACCTTCTAAATTACTGAGAAAGAAATCAACAAGAAAAAACTTATTTTTGGAAAAAGTAAGAAGTAATAAAGCTGAACATGTTAAAAACAAAATTTAAAAAAGATAATATTAACACCAAGCATAAATACAACCACATATACAAATGGTCTGAAGTAACATTAAAATAATTTCCACTGTGTGAATACATAAACACTATTCAAAGGCACACATACAGTAGCAAAGGGTCTCAGGACATGTAAAGCATACATAAGGCAGGTACAAATTTCATAAAAACTAGAAAAAGCACAAAGCAAAAAGAAATAGCTGGGTCAAAACAATAACAGAATCCAAGGCACATTAATAATAAAACTTGTAAACTGTAATATATCAAATCAAAACAAAATAAAGCAAAAACCACAGTAAATATAAAAAGAAACTGACAAAACATAAGAGAGTAACATCTTCCAGCAACTGGAAAATTAATAAACAACAACAATTATCTGTATGACATCAAGATAGTGATAAATGGCCCTGCCCCTGGGGCACGCCAAGAAGGTGACTGAGACTGGGCATGGTGGTGCAAGCCTGTAAACCTTGCACTGGGAGGCTGTAAACAGGAGGATCACTGTGAGTCCAATCTATGTCTTGAGACTCTGTAGAGCCTGTCCTAAATACAAAAACAAAACAAAAAAGATAGTGACAAAGAATAATGGTATTATGAAAAAAAAAAAAGAGGAAAAAACTTGAATGGGGTGAGGTAATTAGCCATGTCAAACCTGAAAAAATAGTTGATGGGTCACTACACACAAAGTTAAGGAAAACACTAACAACATGTTTTGGTTTGCAAAATGCCTATTAGCCCACTGGAGATAGGGCAGTTGGATATCTGAGAATGAAATTTAAGAGAAATTACAGGGCTGAATAAAATATGTACCTTTAGGGAAGCAAGTGTATGTAAAGAGAGAGACTGGCAATAAAATGATGCTAGAATAGCTCAGCAGATTAAAAGCACCTGCAAGCAGGCACAAGGGCCAGGGATTTGATCCCTGGGCCTGCCATGCCAGCCCCACTCCTGGGGCACATGAGAGGGCAGCAGAGACTGGGCGTGGTGGTGCACGCCTGTAATCCCAGCTCTTGGGAGGCTGTAAACAGGCAGATCACTAGCAGTCTGATCTAGTAATGAGGCCCTGAACACCCTGTAGACTCTTCCCAAAAATTAAAAAAAAAAAAAAAAAAAAAGCTAGAGAGCAGAAATTTAAGAACTGCTTAAGTTTTAAAAGTCCAGATGAAAATAATCAATCAGAGGCAAGTAAAGATGGAGACCTAGAAGGTGTGGATGCCAACTGAAGAAAGTATTTTAAGAAGAAAGAAGTGAAAAGCTACACAACATGCTTCTGAAAAGAGCATAGTATTTGTTTTCAAATGTCTAAATGTTGACACATAGAAGGTGTTTAGTGAATATGTGATGATGTGAACAAATGAATAGCACTAAAATTTTTTTTTTGAAACCACAGTAGCATACAGTATATTAATTCTCACTGGTTACATATTACTAAATTCAAATGAAAATGAAAGAGAAACAAAATACAGACCAGAAATAATTTGCTGAAATTGTATGTATGTATGTATGTATGTATGTATGTATGTCTACAAAGCAGGCACTGTGACACTGAGCTACATCCTCCACCCACAAGTTTGTTGAAATTTAATAGAATTAAAATGGAAATGCTGTACCTACAACTTTCCTTTAGAACTACCTGCAAGTTAGCTAATCGAGGCTGGCTTTCTCCTATGTGACAGGCAGGCTAATAGACACAAGAGAAAGAATCAACCCATCAGTAGCATACGAATGTAGCAGACACAGAAATGAAGGGAAGTATCTTAAAAGGTCATGCACTCTAGGGGATAAAAATCAAGGTCTCTTTAATGCCAGTTGCCAGAAATTATTTCTGGCAAGCAAAATATGTGACCATAACACCTTTGTCAGTCAGCACCCTATGATTTTGACTTATATAGCTCTACTATGTAGAAAAATAAAGGAAAAAAGTTCTTCAAGACAATTAAGAGGCAAAAGTATAGTAAATAAATAGTAAACATTTACTTATCAAGATTAACTATCTCTCATATTTAAAAATGCAAAATAAAAAGTAAAATTGAAAACTGGTCAAGAACTGAAAATGGAAATAGGCTAGTGAATAAAATGGCTTCTTATATTTACAAAATTAATTTATAGTTAAATGCACATTTTTGCTTCTTACAACACTGGATAAAAACAAAGTAAAAAACAAAAAAAAAAAGGAAGAAAAAAAAACATTTTAAGCCTCTTAGACACGGACTAATCAAGGCAAACTTGTAAATAAATTTCTCTATTGAGACTGTAGAGATAGCTCAGCAGTCCAAAGTACCTGCTTAGGCAAGCTTAGGCAAGAGCAGGGACCGCAATTTGATTCCCCAGCACCACATGCTGCGCCAGCCCAGTCCCCAGGGTGGGCTGAGCTGGCCACAAAAAAAAAAAAAAAAAAAAGAATGTAAAAATCTGTAATGAAGCACATGGATAATTAAAAAATAGAATATAACGTTAATTTTTTCCAAGTTATACCTCTAGTTTTGCATATTTTAAAAAGTATATATTTAGATATAGTACCAATTTAAATGTCAAATACAAAGTGTTATAATTCATCACTATGAAATAATTTATAGGACATTTTGGGCTTAATTCAAGTAAGCAAATCAAGTTTTATTAAACTTAAACTCAAACCCTGTACTTACATAGTAACTTTTCTTCCTTTCTTTCTTTTTTTTTTTTTTTGTTTGCAGAACCAGGGATTGAACTCTTGAGCTTGCCAGGGAAGCGCTTATTCCACTGAGCCATCTCCCTAGCCCCCTACAATCTTTCAAATCATGGCTCTTAAAAATAGTTAAAATATAAGCAGTAAAAAAATGGAACATTTCACATTATTTCTGCTAAAGGTTTCTCAGATTCTAAGCTCAATCAATTTTAAATTGAGTTGCAGATATTCAAAAACCACCACTAATTTTGATACAAAAGTCAGTTAAGCACAGCATTAAGAAGACTGTAGATGAAGTGTGAGAATGTTTTTCCTGTAATAATTTTAAAATGCATTAATAAAACCGGTTCCCTTTTGTTGAATGATGTAATAAAACAGATCTAAATGAAATCAACTAAGAAGAATAAGAACTTGGATCTTGGGCACTAATTAGTTAGGTAATCTACCACATAATCTCTTAAGGCTTTAATTTTTTTATCTGCATTGTGAAGGATAAAGGTGAGTTCCTTAATCTCACATTCCTAGCTTTAACCAAGGCAGTCACGAAATTCCATTCATGAAGACATTCTTCAATTCTAAGACTACCCTGATTTAAGTATACCATAAAACCATCTTCCTTTATATTAGTGAATATAAAACACAAAGGTAAAAAGTAGATCTCAAAGAAATAGAGAACAGAAAAGTTACCAGAGCCCAAGATCCAAAGTACGGAGAAGTAAACAAGTATAGGGAATAAAGGAAAGTAGAAAGGATAGTTAATGAGTACAGGGCTGCAATTGGGTAGGAGGAATAACTATTAATGTTCTATAGCACAATATGATAACTACAGTTCATATTAATTAACTGAATGTTTCAAAATAGCTAATACAGAAGATTTAGAACGTTCTCAACACAAATGACACAAGTAGATACTATACACTGTATAAATGTACTGAAATGTCAAACAGTATTCCATAAATATGTACAATCACTGCCAATTAAAAACAAAAATCTATTTTAAAAAATAAACATGATATATACATTGTTCAGGTTTAAATTTATTTTTAAATACTTCACAATCTTTTTCTCTCCATCCACTTTGGGTCCTAGGGCAGCCAAGGTCCTCATACTACGCTTCATCCCCTGCTGCACCCCCTCAACCCTTTGAGACAGGATCTCACTAAACTGCTAAATTTCCCTGGCTTGGCCCACACTTGAAATCCTCCTGCCTCAGCCTCTCAGAAGGCTGATATTACAGAGGTATACAGGCAAACAAGGTCCCCACTTGGGATGTTAGCATTCAAATTAGCAGTATAAAATAAACAAGTAGAGCTGCCTACAAAATACACACTATGACAGATGCTATGAAACAATAGTGTGCTGAAATAAGGCCTAATATTTAAGATATATAGCCCTCTGGGTAAAAAGAAATGCTACTTACATTACTTAAAAGGAGACATTAATGTAAAAATGAGAGAAAAGTCTATCCTCCACAAAGGAACCAACAAATTCAAATCCTCACAACAGAAAATAATCTGAACAAGGAAATCTGAGAACTGAGTAAAGTTTGATAATGCCCTTTACAGGCTCCAAGATGTACATAATGCAGCCAGAGAACATTCAACAGGTGCTAACTCTAGACTCAAACAGGATTTCATAACTGTCTTACCAATATTTACTTACTACCAGAAAGACAAATCCACTGAGAAGAAAAAC